GGATTTTAAATAAACAAAGGTGATAAAAGTAGGTGAGAAATGAGGTAGGTTCTCAGTTCTGTTATATCCATGGTGTCAAATGATCAATTACCAATCAGATCCATGTGGAATGGAAATTTAGCGGTTTAGTTTTCCTAGAGTGAGAAATGACATCCTAACTGTTGGAGAAGGGGCAAACTGTATCCAGGAATACAAGTGAGACTTTGAAGAGATGGCCTGTTCCTTTTTCCAGTGCATGTCAATTCCTGCACTGAAATGCAGTGCTAATTTTTAGGCTTATCTACATCTGGTCACCACCAGTTAAGGCAACAGAGCTTTCCAAGCCCTAGAAGATTCACTTCTAATTCTTGCTTTTAGAGCCTGTTATCAGCAGGAGGAGGATGCATTTTGTCACCCATCCAACCACCACCACCCAAGTTACGCCTGGAAAAATATACTAGATCAACCCACAAATACAGTCCATAATATGGTTGAGAGGGCGGTGAGAGAGGGGAGAGAAAGCTATAGTAACTGTTTTAAGGAAGCATTTGCATTCACCTAAAACTTCTATATCTGTCTCTAGGAATCTGAAAAAGAATTCATCTAGAGACAACAGTATTTAAGTGGTCACTCGTTTTTGCATGTTTTAAGAATTACAAGCTTCAATCCACAGCATTAATAAGTTAGCCAATTCTGCACTAGAAGTGAACATAAAAATCTAATAGCTTAAAATTTTTTGCTATCTGACAAAGCTTATTATTTCCATTGTTAAAAAGTAGTATTTCAGATAAAAGACCGTGAAACTATAAAAAAGAACAATAAAATCTCTGGAAGTCACAGAAGACTTGAAATGATGCAAATGCCAACTAAAAATATTCAGACTAACATTTTAAATAATGAAACCAGGACACAGCTCTGCATCTTACAGCAATCCTTGCAATACCTCTTTTCCACTAATTGAAAGAATCAAATTTTGAGGAGATATTTCCAGGAAAACTATTTCTAGAGTACATGTATAGCTTCATTAAACATGGTTGATTTCAAAACTAAATTTGGCAGATTATACATAAAAATCCCCAAAGTTTATATTTTTTGTGGATAAATTTCAAACGTGTTAGTGTAACATTTTTATATTATGAATTACAAAATAATTCATAACAATCCTACAGACCACATGCAAGTTTATTTAAATAACACTGCACAGAGAGCTAATTTATAAATATAAAAATAGATTTAGCAACAAAATATAAGCACCACACACAAGTAGATTAAATACACACCATCAGGCCTTTGGAAGATTAAGGCAATATTAATATCTCAAGTAGTTTTATATGAATACTTTACTCATATGACAGACGTTAGTGAAACATCTAAAAATAGGTAGAGACTACAAATTTTTTGGTATGAAGTCTTCCCTTCCAGTTTTCTTGTCAATATATTAATGATTCTTCTTAAATACTGTACAACAATTAATCTAAATTGACAAATGGGCTATCAAAGCCACTATCTTGTTGGCTGGGCAGAGGAGCACTTAATTTCCTTGAAGGCTGCTGAGACACTGAAGATGGTACTGTACTGGTCAGTTCTTTGAAATCTGACTTTAATACATCAGTTTTCTGATGAGGTGTGTGTCCAAGAGTCATACTGATCTTCCCCGGCTGTGGATACTTGGTTTCCTCTGACAGCTCTGGTGCATGACCACTCCGACATTTCATCGGTTGACAAAGCATATTGTTTTTCTCCCTATCTGAAAGACAACTGGCTCCTGAAAACTGTTTGAAACTAACAGATTCAGCTACTGTATCCAGATTTTCCTGTGGCCTACCTTGTAAAAATGACACGTCCTGACTGTTGCAGGGTAAAGTGGCACTGCTGGAATGCCAGTCTATTGAATCACTGAGGCCCACTGCGTCCTTCACCAGAGTGTCCTGCACACCCAAACTTGGGCTCTTCTCAAATGCAGTATTTTCACTTTCCATTAGTGGATTACACTTACATACTTTTAAACCAAGTCTTTCATTATTACCTCCAAAGGTTATATGTGTGGATCCGGATTCAGAAGGACTAGGGGTATATCTGGGTGAGGGTTTACTTCCGAGGGACCCAAGAAAGGGGTATGCAGTTGAATGTTGAGGTGATTCAGAGCCAGTGTCACTGAGGAGGTCTTTCTTCCTGTGCAAACCAAAGCTTCTTTCACCTTCACAAGGAACAAACTCAGGAGCCACACTGCCTGGCAAAATGTAACTGCTACCCCTGAACTGGAAGTCTGAATGTGATCCTTTGGAAGCCATGTGTTTTACGTCTCTGAGCTCTGCATTTTCTAACCGCCTTCCTAAGTTACAAGCAGCCCTTCTCTTAGGAGCTTGATCACACATACTTCTGGGGATACTTTTTATACTGTTTGATTCACTTTCAATGTGATGTGGTATGTTCTGATTCACATTATTTCTTTTTGATTTTTCAACTCCAATCAGCATCTCTGAAGTTAGAGGCAGTACTATTATATATAAGGGAACACAAAATTAGGGGAAAACAAAATTAGGAGATAATTAATATTCAAAGAGGAGGAAAAAAATAATGTTTTTATGTTATTTCCAAAGAACACATATATATTTTAATCATTCTCCAAGAAAATATATCAATGCTAGACATTTAAAAACATTCTTTTACATATTTTGTTAGATAAAGACAGGCAATTTTGTTACTGAAATCTGATAATTATTGCTATCCATCTGATCTATTTATTTTCCACAATAGATGTTACAAGCATTTCAAAAACCAAGTGCAACATTTACAATCCTGCTCTGATGTCAAGTATGGAGTTTCTGATGAAGAAAGGTTGATGGAAGGACCCCACCACCCAACACCTACATACACCTACCTACACACACACATACACACACACATGCAGTGTAAAAACAAAAATAGAGTTTCTGATTTAATTGGTTAAGACACTAAATCAGATCAGAAGCAAAGCAGCTACATAGCAGTGTCAGAGGCATCATATCTCAAAGTAGTGTACCTTGTTCCTTAGAGCCCATGAAAAGGTTTGCTTCTACTGAGGTCATTATGTACATAGTTGCCCTCAATCTAGAAAATTCTTTTATCTGTTATATGCTTACTGCCCTTGGATCATGGCTCCTCCATTCCAAAATCTACTCAAATAATCTTTGTGCTTCTAACTGAAGGATGTTTATCAACATTAGACTTGTGGATTGCTGAACAATCTCTACTTCAAGCTTTCAGAAAATTGAAAAACCCCATTTCTCCACAGATATATTCAAAATGCTCCAGTGTGACTGAGAATTTACCAATTTTTTCATATATTTGCATAAGCTTTATATATTCTATAGCTATTTTGTTATGAGCAGGAAGAACCCACACAGCTTTTGGGAGGCTGTTCCCTTATTATTATGAGCTATCACTTTGGTCCCTTTCAATGCTGACTGCAATTTACCTAACATTGTATTTAATGCTATAATTTATCTAATAACATTGCATCGCCTAGTGTTTATCAGTCTCCATCCCTTCATTTTGAATTTTTGATGTTGTTCTTGTGAAAATGACATGTTCTGATTTTAAAAAACTATTTGGAATTTGTAATCTTTTACTGAGTTTAACCTCTTTATTTAATGTGATTGCTGATGTTTCAACCTACCATAATTTTCTATTTACCATGCTTTCTAGTTGTATTTTCCCTCTTTTTTGATTCTGTTGGGTGGAAATGTTTCTTCCAAGATTTTCCCCTACTAGTTTGAAATTTACATATTCTATTTCTCTATTGGTAAGCTTAATACACATACTTAAACTTGTATTTTTCTAGTAATGCTGGAGTTATCAGTATCTATATCCTCTCCTAGAAAATAGTAAAAATCTTAGCATATTGTTTGTCTACTCTACAATATCCTTTTACATCTTTTCTGAGAACTCTACTCTTTTCTAACATTCTCAGGTCCTGTTGTTTGTTCTATTAATTCTATTTCCTTAGGTGTAAGTTCTTTTGGCTTTCTTGTTGTGTCTTGTTTTGAGTTTAGGGACTTTTTTTTATGGACTTTTCTATAAATAAAGGGAGATTCTTGGTTAAATGCCGATCTTTGAGATATCCTGAGTATGCTATTAATGCTGTTTGTTTAAAGGAGTCGGGCATGGAATGGGAGGAATGACCTGCAGGATAGCAAGACCTAAGACCTAATACTCTGGGCATGAGGGCTCCCAGTTCCTCTTTAGTGTGGCTACCCACCTGGAGTGCTGCCCTATTCCCAGACTGTTCCTGTTGCTTTTAACCACTCCAGTATTGGGACTGGGAAAGGGTCGGGAGAAGGAGAAATAAAGGGGGTGATCCCAGCAGGTCCTGTTGCTCTAGCACTAATCACACATTGTATCTACCCTCTAGGTTTACTTCTTCCCCTGGCGCATACCACCTTCCTCTGTGGAGGAGTTTCAATACTGTTCCGACTTGTACCTGTCATCTGGCAGGTTTGAAATGAAGTTTCCATCTTTAATCTTACTGTCTTCTTTATTTCAGGGATTTCTCATAGTTTCTGGTTTGTCAATTGTAACTTTTTAAAGCCCAGTTATAATTTTTTTATTTTTCTCCTTCACTTGTCGAAATCTTTTCTGTCATTTCTAGGTATGGCAGCAGCAGTAGGAAGTTGGTGGGTGTGCTCAGTCCGCCTGCTTGAACTGGAGGTCTGCACTCTCTTGTAAGTTCCCAGTTTAAGTTAGACATGCACACAACTTTATAAATTAACTCTCACTCCTTATGTTCCCTGTTTTTTCCATACTAAAAATCTTAAATAGCTAAAAAAGAAGAATGGAAAAAACCCTTTAAGTGACTCATTTTGACATACCTGACTCCATAGTTTTGCTCTGGGATCTATTAGAAATAGGTGTTTCCAGCAGTTTTGCCATTGTAGCCAGTTTGCTAGCAGCATTCATAATCTTTTTTTCAGCCCTGGGGTGGGGGGATTCCAGAATATTGAGTTAATATAGTTTCAAGAAAAAATGAGTTTCCTGAGCCCTAGGATTTCTCTTCTCCTATTAGTTTTGCCAACATGTAGCAGAGCACAGACATAAGCCCTTCTTAACCTGCAATGGCTGATCATGTAGAAATAGTTAATTTTGTGGTTAAGGAAAATGCTTAGAAAATGACAGCATGCTGTCTTGGTACTCTCAGGACACACTGTTTGTTTAGATGGAACTTACCCTTCCTGCTTTCCATTATCTTGCAAAATCTGTTGAAGGCAAATCAAATAATATTTGCGCATCCTTCGGGCGGTCTCTTGACGTTCTCGCAGTACCTCTTCTTTTACCATTTCCGCAGCTCTTGCCTTGCTCTCCTGAATGTAACGAAGCATATCACCTGCAGTGAGGGGAATCCCCACAGAATGCATACTTATTAGCAGTTTTCCAAAGACAGGAGAGGCAGACGTCAGACCAATTTTCTGAGACAAAGTGACTGGAGTATACCTTCAACATTATACTTTGCCACAGTGATTAGAATGGAACATTTCTGATCACTTGGGTAGGCTCAAGGAAGTATCGAAAAGTCTTCTAGCATGATGAAAAACACATATGATAAGGAAATAGCATTTTCCCTTGAGAAATTCTGTCATATTCTCAAACACTGAGGCAAGAAAATACCATAAATATGAGGCACAGAAGCATACATTTCAATGATGTATTATGTCCAGTTAAGAGAAGAGAAAAAAGAAATATACAGAAAGGGTGAGGGATAAAGAAGGAGAAAAGTATATAAAAGCCCAGTAAGACAGAGGGAGGTGCTATGAGCTGGACTCATATTCTGCTTATCTGTGTTCTGAAAATCAATGTTTCAATATTTATTCAATTCTTTCAGCAGTATTTATGAGCATCCAACTAAACATAATACTAGTCCACGGGAGAGATGTACAAAATGCTGCTACAGGGAGAGAAATGAGAAGTAATGCTGCTTTCTGACATTTATTTAAAACTAGGTCTCAGCTTTCAAGTTCTCTTTTTTCTTTACCTCAACGTGCTTTGATTGGGACTATGATTATTTAAGGTTAACATTTTTTACTAAATCCATGGCTACAACCTAACTGAAGAATATCACCATCCCTGTTATATTAAGGATTCCAGTTCTTAGAGGAACCTTCCTCCATATCAGTAAGATCCTAAAATTAAATATTCTATGTGAAAATACTAATTGAAAAACTATTTTCTGTATTTGAAATGGGAAAAATTAAAGTAGAACACATGGTCAACACAACTTCCAACCAACATCTAAAATGTAAAACAATATACACACACACAAATTGTCATGCTAGGATGAAAAGATACTTAAAATTTCACTTCCCAATTAATATGACTGCTAACAAAAATTTTCTGTCTGTAGTAATACAGCCTCTGTTAGCACCAGCGAGTGAGAAGCAAATTCACTTTATTGACATTAAGTCGACTTTTCAGAACATCTATCAATGATTCTGATGATCTACCAGTTATATTTGGAACATGAGACCGTTCCTACTCAATTTGTTAAGAACAAAAGCAATTTTAGGAGGTAAATATACATTTCACCTATATTAATGCCGGTTATTGTTTTGAGACACACATACAATCTATGCAATTAAAAACTAGAGGTATTCTGGGAAAACACATGCCAGGGAAATGCTTTGCAGGATATGCTTCATCACTAAGATCACAAAGAACTTGACAGAGTTATATCTATGACTTAATCCATTATCAAAATGAGAAAAAAACAGAACTCCTAACCAGATCCATTTTCCATGGTCCTAAAAAGTTTACTATAACATAACAGCTGCTGATTTAAAATCTTTATGACATTTTCTTTGTTAGTAGTTATTTAAGTTGTAAGATTACACAATTTTACATATTATGTAAACAGGATACTTAACAATATAAAAGTAACTGCCCACATGTCACCTCCAGAAGATACTAGTTGAGTAAAATGATCCATTACTGCATAGTTTAGAAAAGGTACCGATGATCTCTTCTAAAAGCAGCTGGATTCCAGAACAAGGTAGTCTGGAAAAGTCTCCAAAATTACTACAGCTAATAACAGAAAGGTCCACCACCTTAAAATACTGAGAATCTCTTTAGGGACTTACACTTTATTTTTTTTACAGCCCTAATGTACTGCCCACGAAGTTCTTCCAAGACGCTCCTACTGCACGGCAGGCAAGCATTTTCAATGGCCCCTTCTGACAATGACCTAAAAAACCCAAAAGATTGTAGAAACAGAGAATGTAAGTGAAAAACTTTATTTGAAAAAATATCTAGACATATATTACAGTAAAATAAACTGAGATGTACTACAACAATTCATATATAAGTATCTTTACTACACAGTTACATGAAGTGGGAGAAAAACAACAACATGAATATTATGGTTAATATATCACAGTAACTCCATATCTATGCAGCTAGTGAAAAGCATATTACAGGAGAATATCTAATGACTTGGGGAAATGTTCATCTTACAATATTATAGTAAAGGACTACAAAATAGCTTATACAATAATGTGAATTTTTAGAACATGTACATGTGTGTGCACAAAGGGGCTAAAATGAAGGTTTACACTCAAAACCGGGTTAACAGGGTATCTTCTGGGAATAGGGTTTTGAAAGATTTTCTTTTTTTAAATACCTTTTGCTGTATAATGATACTAATAATTAATACTCTTGGTATGATACTGATATGATTGATATGAAAAATTTAAAGATTCTTAGCCATAAACAAGTTCTTTAAAATAGTGAAGGTTAACCTAAACGTAAGACCTGAAACCACAAAAATCCTAAAAGAAAATATAGGCAGTAATCTCTTGGACATTGGTCTTAGTGATGTTTTCCTGGATCTGTCTCATTAGGCCAGGGAAACAAAACAAAAATGAACAAATGAGACTACATCAAACTAAAAAGCTTTTTTGCAGAGTGAAGGAAACTATCAACAAAACAGCAACCTACTGAAAGAGAAGAGACTGGCCAATGATATATCTGATAAGGAGTTATCCAAAATATATAAAGAACTCATACAACTTAACACCCAAAAAAGACAAATAATCCAATTAAAAAATGGGCAGAGGGTCTGAACAGACATTTTTCCAAAGAAGACATACTGAGAGCCAAACACATGAAAAGATGCTCCACATTAGTAATCATCAGGGAAATGCAAATCAGAGCCACAGTAAGATATCACCTTACACCAGCCAGAATGTCCAGCATCAAAAAGACAAGATACAACACATATTAACGAGAATGTGGAGAAAAGGAACCCTTGTGCATGGTCAGTGGGAATGTAAATTGGTACAGACACCATGGAAAACAGTATGGAGGTTCCTCAAAAAATTAAAAATAAAAATAGCATTCAACCCAGTAATTCCACTTCTGGGTATATTACTAAAAGAAATATATATAATGTCAAGTGAAATAAGTGAGATAGAGAAAGTCAAATACCACATAAATTTACATATATGTAGACTCTAAAAAACAAAACAAATGCACAAACTAAAATCCAGGAAGACTCATAAATAAAGAGAACAAATGCAGGGTTGCCGGAGGGGAGGCAGGGTTGGGAGCTGGCAGAATAGGTGAAGGGGATTAAGAGGTACAAGCTTCTAGTTATAAAATAAGTCATGGGGATGAAAAGTACAGCATACAGAATAGAGTCCATAACATTGTAATAACTTTATATGGTGAACAGATAATATCTATACTTCTTGTAGCATATTTTATAATTATATGTTGTCGAATCATTGTTGTACACCTGAAACTAATATTGTATGTCAACTATACTTCAATAAAAAAATACTTATTTAGAAAATAATGGAGACAACACTTGACAAAATATAATTTTTTATAACGAAAAATAGTGGAAGTCTACCTTGATGGTGTTTTACAAAGTGTTTGCAGTTCTTCCAATTTATTCTTCATGTCAGTGTTTTCTTCTATTAACTCTTCAACAACTTTACTATTTTCTTCTAGAAAAGAAAGTGTACAGTATGTTGGTCAATTAATGTCTTTTTTTCCCTCAGTGTTGCTTTCCTGTAGGTTCCCAGTGCAAATCTTTATAGAGGAGACTGTGGAATTTCCAGTTGCTCTCTGTGTTATTAATTCCCTGATGAACCTAATCTGATCAATCCCTGTTCTGTTTTCTCAGCACTCAAAATCTGTATTCCATCTTCACCTTGTTTTGGATTACACATTATCCGGGAATAGGTTTTCCAAATGTTTTATATGCATGTGTTTTATTTTCCAGTTCTAAAGAAACATACTGGGTTTTCTAATTCCACGCTCCTCATGGATCCTGGTATATAGTTTATGCCCATATAAGTGATCATTGACAAGCACCTCAATACAAAATAAAAAGAAAACTAAGCTTAAGTAGGTACCACTTTCACAATTAATGTAAGATTTTGAATTCTTTGAACTTTTAAAAAAGTTCAAGATGAGGAGGAGGAGATTGATAGAGTCCATATGGTATGGAGGAGAAAGCATAAATTTCACAGTCAAGAGAGAAACAGCACTTAAATCCTAGCTCTGCTTCTTATCAGTTGGATGAGCTTAGGGAAATTACTCAACCTTTCTGAACCTGAGTTTTTCATATGTAAAATAAGGATAGTATTACCTACCTTCAAGATTGTAACAGAAATAAAATAATAAATGCACAGCACCTTATCAAGGCCTGGCAATACCAATGTTTAATAAATATGACATGGTACCTCATGATTCCTACTATGCCCCCCCTCTCAACACACCTCATGAGATAGGAAATGAATCATTCTATTTCTCCTAGTAATTGATATACTTGCGTGTTTTAAACCACTCACTCATTCCATCACTTTTCAATAAATGCTACCAAGACAGTGGAAAAGGGAATTTAAGAAACAGAAAAGAAACAATCACAACAGCAGAAGTATTATCAACTAATAGGTTTACACTAAGACAATGCTAAAACCAAACTATCAAATGACTTCTGACTCTGACTGCTTTTAGCAGCCTATTGTTTTGAGCTAAGTATCAACTTTTTTGGATAACTTCTATGTCTATGAATTACAGAAGATAACTGCAAAAGGTACTATTTAGAATAACTATTTTGTGATCACAATGTATGGTCCTAAATATTTATAAATAATAATCATATCCAACTGCCCTTGTCATTTTATCATGTAAAACAAATTTCCTTGTTTCTCAGAAATTTTATAATAGCTGCATTGTATCCACAGCTACAGTTGGAGAAATACCTCATTTACTCTGTGGGCCTCTACTAAGCAGTGAAGCAACCACCAGAAATTGTAGTGGTTATCATTTTTATCTCAAAATCCTTAAAATTCTTTCTGCCCTAAAGAAGTTATCTCTCTCTAACAGACTTAAGAAACCATAGGTGGAAAGTGGGGGCCCTTTTAGCAACATCTTTCCAGTGTGCAGTGATGCCAGGTAGGTGCTAAGTGCTGGGCAGGACTTGATCCTTGTCAACATCAAGTCTATATTCCAAAGGAAAATACGGACAATAAATAATTGCAAGGACAATGACTTATAAAAATCATAGCAGCTTCCGGGAATCTCTAACAGAAGAACCTAACCAAGTCTGGGGAGGTTAAATCATCCCTGAGGAAGTACTGTGCTGGGGGTCAGGTGAGTAGAAGTTAGCCAGGCAGTGTGACAGGAAGACAGAGGTCTTGACAAAGGAGAGATGAAAAGAGGTCCACAGAAAAAAGGCAATGAAACCCTTCAAAAGAGAACCAGAGGGTGAATAAGGGGCAATGAGGCTGAGGAGCTGGCTGATGTTGGCTCATGAAGGACTTCTAGAGTATATTAAATTAGATGTTATATTTCATACTGAGGGCCAGACAAGCCACAGAAGGACTTTAAACAAGAGAGTGTCATGATCCATGTACATTTTCAAAAGGTTGCTCTAGCTCCCTAATGGACTGGAGAGCTAAGATTGGAAGCAAAGAGTCAGGAGGTGACTGCTGACCAGGCAAGTGATAAAGGCGAACATGAAAAAAAAAGTGAACCCCCATATAATACAGGTTGGTCACAGGGAAGGCAGTACAGCATGGAGAAGACAATTAATGACTTAATAGCATCTTACTACGCTGACAGACAGTGACTGCAATAGGGTATGGGGGGGACTCGATAATAACGGTGAAGGTTGTGACCACAATGTTGCTCATTTGAAACCTTCATAAGACTGTATATCAATGATACTTTAATAAAAAATAAAAATAAAAATATGCTCACACACACATAGTGAACCCATCCACTCAGTCTTTTCTAAATGATGCAGTTATTTGGGGTCCTTGCATTCAGTCTTTCATTCATTCAAACATTTTTATTTCCTGGTATATAATGGGCACCATGATTACAGAGGATGAATAAGACAAGACATATATGTCTTATTCTCTGGGAATTTATAAGTTGGAAAGGATATCAGACAGCTAACCAAAAAAGTAAATAGAGAATGGTAATAGAAGTAAAACCAAGTGCTACAGAGCCACGAAGCTGCCGCCCATCTAACCCAGCTGGGAAAGTCAAGGATCGCTTTGCCATTAAGGCACCTTCTCAGCTGAATTCCAAAGGATGAGGAAGAATTAGGCCAAAATGAGAATGAGAGGGTAAAATGTAGGACAGAGTAGAATATCATATTCAAAGTTCAGTAGTAAAAGAAAATTCCTGACCAGTTCAGGAATCTGAAATAGTTCAAGTGAAAAAAGTACAGGGGATATAAATAAATCGTGAAAGTGAACAGGGAGCTGCCTCGTAAGCCCACAGCTTCCCCTCCTCAGCAGGGCAATGGGAAATGGCAGCACACATCCCTTTTTGATAATTTCCTGGCAACATTGTGAAGAATGGACTGGAGGGAGGCCAGATCAGACCGATATGCCTTCGCTCATGTCTTTTCTTTCTGCCTAGAATGCTATTCTCTTTGGAAAATACCTTCATCTTTCAAGGCTTAGTCAGCCCTCCTTAACTCTAACTGGAGAAAGAGTCAATTAACATCCTTTCTTCCAAAATGAACATATGCCAGCAGTACTCAATGTTGCAGTTGTTTATTAATCTGTTTTCTAGTTCTCCAACCTTGATAAAACACTTCTTGAAGGAAATTAACAGGGCCTTGTATATCTCCACTGGCCCTGGAATTCTGTCTGATGTAGTCACTGCTGTATCCCCTGAGCCTAGAACACCTGCTTAACACATATGGGGCATTCGATACCTGTTCAGTCAAAAAAGGAAGAAAGGTATGTGACCTTTTAATCAAAGCTCCAATTTTTCTCTTTTGAGTTCAGTAATAATAATTTGCTTAGTAAAAATGAGGTCAAAACTAGTTTACATTAACCCCAAAGAGAATCAGTGCCTACATTAATTGAAATAACACAATTGAACATCTCAAGGAGATCAAAGAGATTTATACTGGTAGCAGTGCCATTTTAAATGCTAACCTCCGATTTTTTCCACTGCAGCTTTGTGCTTTCTTTCTAAATGCTGCAAATGCCTACAGCATTTCTCCAGTTTCTTTTTCAGATCTTGACATTCCTGCTTGGCCCTTTCAAGTTCTTGGAAGCAGTGTCCACAGCATGAATCTTTAATTTCAAGGATCTTTTTCTTATCTGCAAAAATTAAATGATAGCAAACTTTTATATCGATTCAGACTAAGAACTACCAAAAAGAAAGAAAGAAAGGAGGGGGGTAAGGAGGGAGAAAACCAGATGACATGATTATAGGCTATGGTGTAATTGAAAAGAGCATAATGCTCAAGAGACAGACCTGGGTTTAAATCCTGTTTCTACTATTTACTGGCTGTATGACTCTAAGTGTATTACTTAGCCTCTCGGTGACTTGTTTTTTAACATGTAAAACGGATTACAATCATGTTTTAAAACCTGCTATGAAACATAACGCTCAGATCTTAGTAGTGAATGCCATTCCTCACTGAAGGAAACCAGAGATCATCAAGAAATGGCTGACCCCAGTACTGAGACTGGGTCTATACAACACGAGACTACAACACTTTGCTTGCCAGAAAGTAAGAAATTGCTCAAAAATACAGGCATGTCACAAGGACATAACAGTTTGAAGGGGCTCTACTACATGAATCTGGGATGATTTGAACAATAAGTACAGTAATGCATCATGAAATACTGAAATAATAGGAATTCATGAGTCATACCAAAAATCCTACCAATAATTGGGTGGACGGTTGGATGGATGGATAGATAGATAGGTAGGTAAGTTGGTAGGTAGACAGATGGATGGGTGGATAGATAGATAGATAGATAGATAGATAGATAGATAGATAGATAGATAGATAGATAGATAGATAGATAGATAGACAGATAATTTCACAGACAAACTAGAGAGGAGGATTCTCTATTATAACATTCCAAGTGCCAACTGGTAAAAGTGGAAGAAAGTCTGGAGTTGGAAAAATTACAGTTTTGCAACCACCATAGTAAAGACTAGATCACAGAAACTTCATCAGTGACTATTACATACAAGGGAAAGCTTTAATGAAGAAAAGGACATTTTCATGGTCTTAAAAGCATCTTCCCGCAAATTGCTTATTAGTTGCAAGGGGGGAAAGCCCAGTAATAATGAAGTGAAGAAACTGGACAACTCCTGGACCAGGTGTTCAAATGAACTGCACCAATGAAAGACAAATGGATATCGTACACCCCAGATGTGATAACACATCCCCTGTGCAGTGTTCCAGCCAAGAAAACACAACCTGAATGTGCTCATGAAGAAACAGCAGACAAACCTGAAATGAGGAAAGTTTATTAAGAGCCTGGGGTGGGGGTTGAAGGGGTAGTGTTGGGGAGAGCAGAGAACATGTCTTTCCAAAACATCATAAAAATGTTGTAAAAGGCAAAGAAAGGCTATAGAAATATTCTAGATTAAAGGAGTCTGAAGAGACATGGCATCTAAGCATAATACCTGACCCTGGACATTCCTGTACTGGAGGGAAAAAAAATGCTGTAAAAGCCATCACTGGGTCAACTGACGAAATTAGAATACAAATAGTACCTTGATACAATATGTTCATCTAACGTTAAATTTACTGCACTAAGGTTATACAAAAACAACTCCTATTTTTGGAAAATACAAAAGTACTTAGAGGTAAAAGGACACAATATCTATAACTTATCCTCAAATGATTCAGAAAAAAATGAAACCTTCACATACACATACACACAGATGAGCAGAAAACAGAGTAAAATGTTATCAATAGGCGTATCTAGGCAAAGGACGTATGAGTATTCTTTGCAGCTATTTTTGTTTTTGCAAGCTTTTCTATAGGTCTGAAATTATCTCTAAGTGAAAAAAAGGTTTAAAACTGTCAGGAGGTATAAATGCGTATAAAAATTGTTTGGCACAGTACCTGGCATACAACAAGTATACAACAAATAATAGGTATTACATAGAATTTACAAAATTCAAATAATATATAAAAATGACATAAAAAGGTTATGACTATTAATATAATTGATAGAATATAATTGGCTCAGAAGCCAATATCCAAAATGTCGATGTAAAATCATTAGTTCAATAGTCATTCTAAGCTCTGATGTTATTAGATATATATATATGTGAATATGTAACATAATGTTAAAAGACAAACCAAATAAAGCAACAGCTATTTGAGAATACTTATACTTGGTCAAAACATAAAGAAAAGCAAGAGAATAATTTTTTTAAATCAGAATATTTTTGCCTCAGTGTGGGGAAGTTACAGAAATGGATCCGTGGTAAAACACACAGGTCTTCAATTGTATGGGGGAGGTTCTCTTTCTTAAGTCCAGTGGTGTCCCCTGGTTATGAGGCTTCATAATTTACATGTGCATTATATATATTCTTTGTGCATATCAAGTATTTCATAAGTAATGTTTACAATATCTTTTTAAGTGGTTAAGATATTGGGAGAATATAACCAGTTAACAATGGTACTCTCTGGGTGATAAGATTGTAAAGGCTTATCATTTAATATATATTTTGAGTTGTTTAATCCTTTCTAATGAATTTGTTATGAGTTTGTCTTTAGGGAAAAAAGATTGAAGAAAAATAAATCCTTTTTATAGTCTGATTTGTTTTAAGTCAAAGCTAATTTTCTTTCATTTTGATAGACTTCCCAAAGCCAAATAATATCTAAATATTGTTTCTACCCATTTCACAGATTGAAAAAAAGAGTTATCAGGTTATTCCAAATGTAACAATAGGAATAAAATGACATTGAAAAGAAGCAAAATACAAATTAAGATAGTATTACCATGCACCTAATTGACAATAAGACATTCTCAACCATCTAGAACCTAGAAGTAAGGGGAAAAAGTCTATGGACAATGAGAAAATAACAACGGACTTCTTAGGAAAGGGAGACGTTCTCCCAAGATTTTGGTAACATTGCCAACTGAATTAGCCATGTGTGGGAACTACAGTTATTACTTAGTACATACGATTTACTCTGGCAGTTCTTGATTTTTTCCAGGTAATAGCAAATAAGAAACAGAAAGAGTGGACATGTGTTTGTATGTGGAGGAAAAGAGCAGGCTTCAAGGGGTCAATATCATAAAAAGGATTGGAGCTAATAAAGGACACACCAATTTCTAGTTCAGAAATCTCAGTGAATAGGTGATATAAGTCCAGTACTCTCAGTAAGCTCTGAATAACTCAAGGGGCTATGCTATATTAATTTCTACTCATAATGACAACTATAAATCCTTAAGGAAAAGTCGAACTATTAATTTACCAAACATTCAAGGAACACAAACTGTGGGCGTTCACTCTGCCATGTGTTGGAGAGGAAGATATAAAAACACTACCCCTGTCCTCAAGAAACTCACAAATAAATCAGAAAATGCCTAATATACTTCAGAATATTCTTCAGGAAGACTTCCATTCAAAAATGGTTGAAATAAGCTTCAGTAGTTTGAAGGAAAAAGTCTCAGTTATTGGGCTATTCTCTTATGTGAAACCCTTGATTTCTCAATAAGGCCAGGGAATAAAAACATGACTGCTCTATTACAATGCTCTATTTTCTCCTTATAATAAGGATAACTGCTCTATTATTTCCCTTATAAGAATCACTTATAAATGGAGGGAAGATTATGAAAAGACAGAAAAGTAAGAGGGCCAAAAACAACTGTCTTCTAAATGCAAAATGAAATCTCAGGAGAGAACACACATTAAGTAGGAGCAATACTGCACATTGGTTCACTCACAAAACCTGTACACACCTCTGATTTCCTGTTATCCTCAAAGCAACCCTCTGGAATGGTCATTATGGAGTTTACAAAGACCAGTATGAATAATATCCCATTACCTGCTTCTGCTTCTGTTTCTTGCAAAGTCAAGAGCTGAGTGTGGTTTCCAGAAGCGGGTACAGGAAGCACCGCCAGGACTCCAGGGTCTGCTCTGCCAGTGACCTCTGTGGCAGGATCCTTAGAAATCATGGCCATATTTCGCTGAAATAGATTATCTTTATAGGTAATGCGTAGTAAAAATCTTTACAGAAGTCTGCATTTAAAATGTTAATATTAAAAACATAACAGGAAACATTGCCTGAAAAAAATCTTGCCCAGAACTATCACCAGTATTTTTCTTAGAGTGTTACATGAATACTGTCATTATTATGAACTAGTCTCTTATGACTATATTTTCCAAAGTAGAACTTTTGACAGATAACTGGTGGGCTAGCTATGAGACAAACAGGAGATACAGTTTGCACACTTACATATATATATCTCCATATATTATTATTATTATTATTGTATGATATTATTAGTTATTATTATTATATGAAATTAAGATATTTTAAAGTTTACATGATAAAACCACAGGACAACTATAAGAAATCAGAATTGTTCTTGAAAACCCAGAACATTTCACTGAAGCAGGGGTCAAATTCATTGGAAACTATAATACAAACCTTTGCTTTTCATGAATTGAAATTAACAACAGTAAAAAAAATTTTTTTGATTTACAAAGTATGTTATGTTTCTAAATACTTTAATACACACTGTCATTTTCTAAGGAATGCAATGTTAAAGAGAGAAACTGAGTTTCACCTGAGTTAAACATCTTCACAGGACCATTTCTTCACTAACACTTATTAAACATTCTCTGCATTCTAGACCCTGTGATGGCAATATAGATATAAAATTCACTAATGCTCAGACATTCATTAAAGGCAATATTTTCAGATTTTGGACAACTACTAAATCCCAAAGGAACAGAACAGGTGACCTTGAAAAAAACTGTCTTGTTTAATTACTTAAAACACAATACATATGCTTGATTTTAGAAGCTTTAATTCTGATTATGACAAACTCCTTTAACCAACTCTCAGGAAACCTACCTACGATGTCCAACAGAAGCAGTCGGCAGTTACAGAGGAAATACTGACTCCAGGCAATGAAGAGGGTCTAAGGCCGAGGCCAGAGGGCAGCCTATAAAAGCTGAGCCCTATGGGAGCCGGTGTTTCCAGTTGCTACTCAACCTGGAAAAAAGCCAAGATGCCAAAAAGGGCAGGACAGCAGCCTTTCTGTCTTAGTTTGGACTTGAATTTGGTGATACGAAAAGACAGAACATCCCTAGTTTGTCTGAAAAAAATCAATTGTTCCAGTTGATACTTGTTTTCTTTTACCCATTATGAACTGTTGCATTAATACATTTTGATAAAGTATTCATTGTCTTGGAAACTGTACTTTTAATTTATTGCATCTTCCTGTTTAAAAAAAAACTCCTGATCATCCAAGTTATTTTAGTGAGGACTTGTTTTATAGATCCTGGTTGTTTTTATCTGTTCTAATTTTCATTAGCAGTTCCAAACACTACCAATTTAATCAATTGTAAATCAAAGTTCCTTGCTTTTATGGCACCTATATTGCAAACTTATAGTCACTGCTGCATAGTCACTGCTTCACCTCAAGGGCCTGAGCCAAGTAGCTCTAAAATGGCAGACGGTCAAGCATTCTTCGATGAAATGCTGCTCTATTCTCAGAAACAGAATCTGGTCCCACCAAACAAAAGCTGCAAAAGTCTAAGCTCTTAGCCAAGTCATGTGATTCTGCCTCCTCAGACATGAGAGCCACACGAAGTCATGCAGATGATCTTACACTGCTTGCATAATTCTAAGTCCCACAAAAAGACCCCAGGTTGATTATATATTAATAGTAGGAGAAAGGTGTGTTTTCTTGATTTTATAGTAGAGATTACCTTTTCAGGAGAGAAAACTTGAAAGCATGTAACTGATTTTTTCATCATTTCTCATCCTTAAAACCTATAATAAAATTCCTCTTTTTCAAATTACCTATTTTTTCCAAAAATTCTTAATAAAGTATTATAAGTAGTATTCATGGGAAGTGATCTTGCCCAGTTATTTATACACTGAAAGCAACTATTAAATAGTGACATCTTTGTGAAGTCAAAAATAAAGATATCAAATGGAGTAAACTGGGAGGGGGCAGACTGGTCTTTCAGTCCCTTTGGCTCTAAAAGTCTTACTCTTTCAAATGCAGGACACAGAAAGACCAAGCTGTCATTCACATCCTACCAAACTCAAGGAATTAGGCCAGGAATTTGTATTTTCTTTTTCAGATGAGCAGATATAATATACAATTACCTGTGGTAATAAGCTAGCTAGCCCCAAGTGTGGGACCAGAACTCAGACTTTTTCCTAGCTTTCCTACTCTTTCCGGTACGTATGAAGACCAAATGCTCAATGGTGGCCTTGAAAATCTTTGATCAGGATATCTTATTGAAACTTAATTTTTATGCCTCAATTCTATCAGAAAACCTTACAATACTGGCATTTTTTTTTTCCTACCTCTAATTCCAAATGTGGAAAATGGCTGATCACAATGCCTAGAATATCATTCTGGATTTTTCATGCATACCTAATTTCATTAATTATAGGAAGCATGACTTTGGCTTTATCAGATCTTCCACACAAACTAAAAGCTGGTGTCACAATACATACGCAAGTAAAAGAACCCAATCATTCACTTTACATGCATATGTACATCCGCCAACCAAGCGGGCTGCACAGCTTCGTGTGAGTGAGCCATTCCTCTACTGGCTTGTTTCTGCACCAATATTCCTGTACTTCTTGGCCTTTTGTTTTTGCCTATGTGAGATATAAATTCTTTGCGGGCAAGAAATAGGCCTCCAAACTCTTTAGAAGCTCTTCAGAAACCCTAATTTAATATGATACATATTTCTTGAAGTGGTCATGCCTCAAAAACAAAAATAGGAATGAGAGCTATTCAGTTTCTGAAAACTTCAGGCTCCTCAAAGAATAGCTTATATTTTTTAGGAAAAAGAGCCCTAGAGGCTAAAAGCTCTGCCTCTTATTTGTGGCACTATGAACTAGAGTTTTTTTGATTAAAAAAAAAAAGCAATCCTTTGGATTTGCTACAAAAAGTTTTTTTAAACCCCAGGTAAAAAATACAAGTCTTATATCTCTTAAGCTGTAAATGAAGAAAGGAAAAAATACCATATATATAATTTCTACGATCATCCTTGGTATTTAATAACAGCTCTTTTCACTTATCAGGAACATACCTTTTCCCATTCTAAGTTGGCATTTTCTATAAATGGGGAAAGCATATCTTGAAATGCTTTCTGTATGCAGACCTTTAGTTTTTCAAAATACTGCACGGACACCCATTTTGAAGAGCAAGTTGACACAAGTTCCAAAAATTGCTTGTTCTCTGAATCACTGACATGCCCCTTTGGGGCGTCCTTTAGGAGGAATTCCAGCACAGTCAGGATGTCTTCCTCATACTGACAGATTTCCGGCTGGATCCGCCTGGCTTCCTGCAAAGCCCACTCTCGATGACTCTGGTCTAGACACGTTCGCAATTCCGTCTCCTTCTCAAGAAGCAGTTCAGTTTTTTGTTTCACAAAGTCTTCTTTAGCTGCCGCAAGCACCTCATTAATTTTATTTCGATGATCATCTAAAAATTGCCGGTAATCTTGGTCATTTTGTTCTTGAATTCTGTGGATTTCTTCTTGCTTTTCTTTGGTCCATTCACTGCGGGCCTTCGCCAGCTCAGCCCTGACAATCACAGGGACTTCCTCGCTCTTTAACTCAAGCTCTCTCTGAAGAGAATGAATCGTCTCTTCCAGGTCCCTTCCAGCTATTACATTCTTCTCATTTTCAAGCTCACTTTTCCATTTTGCTTTAGCTTCAGAAACAGCAAAGGATACCTAACGGACATAATAATGAATGTACATTTTAAACTCTTCATAATTTTCCTCATTAATAAAACTACTAAAGTAACTATTTGGATTCACTTCTGAACTTAGTAAGAGATTTAAAATCAAAATTAAGAAAAAGAAGTGAAGATAGATAAGACATGGTTCCTAAAATATACTAACACTATACTTAAGGATCTTTTCCTTCATTTTAAATCACCTAGTATTTTAAGTCTTACATGATTTAAAAAATGAAACATCCTTTTGAACCACTGTGCTGTATATTTCAAAACAGTATAAGATTGTATATCAACGATCCTTCAATAAAAACAATCAGCTACTTCATGGGAACTTAAAATTTAAACTGACCCCCAAAATATATAATTGTATAATTATCCAAAACTAATTTTATAAAAACAATTGTTAGTTTTTTTATACATATGCAGTCTCAAATTTTGCCTCATCCTCAACAAATAAAGTATCTTTCAATGAAGCAAAAGCAGCCTCAAAAGGAAATCTTACTATTACTTAGGAATATAACATATGCCTGTATAATAACTTGCTGACAAACAATTATATTTTAAAGCAATTTTAGTGGTTGGAGCACTTCATTAAATGACAGTACCAAACAGAAAAAGTTATTTTTCCATTAATCTGAAATTTTTTAATAACAGAATAACAAGGCTAGGAGATCACAGAAAACAACAGTACAGAATCAAAAAGTAATAGAGAATCCAAACTCCCGGGCTCTAGCTCTAACCCTGCCTTTGATCACAGAGGTGGCCTGGCACGGTGCTTACAGAACAGGTGCTGGAGAGACACTGCTAGAATGAATGTACTGGACCCATTCTTCAGTTTCTTTGGGCCTCAGTTTCCTCATCTATAAAATAGGGGTAATTATGACTGCTCACCTGATGAAGCTTTCTTTAGGATTAAATGACAAAGGAGACATGCATTTAAAACACTTAGTCTGGAGCCTGCCCGATAATGACTCGATAATATTAGGTAGTCACTGCTACTTTTGTCTGTATGGCCTTTAAGTCACTAAATTGCCTCTGTACTTAGTGTCTTCACCGATACAGTGGGCAGATTGGATAATGACTTTGAGTCCTTTTTACTTCTAATGTTTCCTGACTGAATTCAAAGAAGGACACAAAAGTTCAAAGAAGTGGACATCAGCAAAGGCTTGGCCTAACAATTGTAACTGCTATTACTCAATATTGTAGATACGCTCTGGATGTTGAGATAGACTGTCTGCTTCCTAAATTTCTAGCTATTACATAATTTCAGCAAACATCTTCACCTATGTAGATTCTTAAACACATTACATACTTTTATTCAATCATGTGTGCTCCTGAATAATTTTGAATTGCACTTAAGTTTACTAAGGAAACTAAGATGAGTTTTACAAAAGAATTCACAACAAAATTCTTTTGCTACCAGGAGAATAATTCAGTAGCGATGTGAAATATGTTCAAAGAGTGCTTTTAGGGAAAACAGATCATGTCACAGTGGGGCCTGGAAACCATTACCAGGTGACTTGGGTGGAGGAGAGGCAAACCCCCCAGAATCTGGACAATTCACCAACCTCCCCAAAAGTGCACATCCTCTCACACGTACTTTTACAGGAATTTGACAGCAGTGACTCAGGGGTTCCAGGTATTGCTGCATATCAGAATCACCTGAGGAGCTTTTAAAAATCCTGATGCGCCATACCCTGTACCAATTAAAGCATAAATCCTGGGCATGGGAGCCAGGCAACAGTACTTTTTAAAAGATCCTTAGGTTTCTCCAATTCACAGCAAACTTTAGGAATCACTGAACCAACTCACCTACTTCTGGAAACTGGTTATAAATTTCCACAGGTCTTGATGGATCACTCTTATCTTATAAGAACCTGCCAGCCAATGCTATAAAACTGGCCCTTGCCCACCTCTTGGTGTGGCGGAAGAACAAGCAACATGTTAACATTATGCTCTGTGGCCGAGTAATTAGCTAGAATAGTATTATTCACACCCAAGTGTGGTCCAGTGATCAGCAGAGTCACATCACTCAGGAACCTGTTAGAAACACTAATTCTCAGGACTCACTCCAGATCTACCCATCAGAATATCTAGGAGGAAAGCCTGGGAATCTGCTTTAACAGGACTTCCAGGTGATCCTCACGCCCGCTGACGTCAGAGGAGCAGCACACTGTCCCCTGGTTTCTGTAGTTCTGCATTCACATACAGTCAGGCCTTCTGTGTTCTAAGGAAAGATCTCTTGCCAATTTTATTTTCTATATTCTACCCAATTTATTATTCATGACTTTTGAGCTCTGAGACATATATGCAATACCTCATACTGTTTCCTCTTTTTCCCTCTTAAGTTTCCTTTTGAAATATTTCAACATATTAATATAGAAAATAATGTAACAAACACCCATGTATTGCCACATAACTTTAGAATAATATTGAAAGATTTTTTTATGCTGAATTATTTCCTTAAGTAATGTGTGTAGTAAGATTATGAATACAATGTACAAATCATTTATAATGTCTGTTACACATTATTTTCCAAAGTAGCTGTGACATGGGAAGAGTAGTATATGCTTGTCATTGCAATCTATTATGTTTTGTATATTACAATTAAGAAGAGGGTATTTATACATATGGCATAAAATAGAATCTTAACTTTGCGATTTGGACTTCTCATGAAGACTATGTGTTCTTAATCCTTGGTACAACTTTCTAAAGATTGTTTTTCTTATAAATTTGTATTATTTTTCTTATCATCTAGTAGTATTAATGTTTCTGTTTGATTAATTTATTTTCCTTACTTTTATTATCCCCTCACATTTGTTTTAATTACAAAAACCAAAATATTTTATATATTTGTACATATTTTATCCTATTACTTTATCTTTCTTTGCTCTGGTGTCCATTGCCTCAACATTGAATTATTGTGATACGGATTTGAAATACTCAATTTCTTTTTCTTGTACCACATTTAAAAATGTTTAACTCCTTAATCAACCTAGAGTTTCTTGTGATGCATGGTATAGGTAAGCAATTTTTCCAAAGTATCTGGCTATCATAAAACTGTTTATTACAGAAAATGCCTCATTCCCTTGTTTTGAAAGAACTTATTAAGCTTTTATCATAGTTGGACCTATCTCTTAAGTCTGCTTAGTACTGAATGAAAAAGAATTCTATTTTTGTGACTCAACACTGCCTGAATTGTTGCTTTCCAACATACTCTATTATGTGTTAGGCCTGGACTACTATTTATTTTCCAGAACATTACAAAAATCTCTAGTCCTTTTGGATTTCCAAATAAATATTAGAATTACTGTGTCAAATTTCAGAACTGTTTTCAGTTTATTGGCATTTTGATTGGAATTGGTTTATAAGTTGGGAGAAAATGATTATAATATCTGATGTTTCTAGTCAAGGAACATGACATCTCTGGAAAGGAGAGTTGGCTGTACACCAGGGAGAATATGTTGTAAGACTATTGACACAGCAGAAAAGACAATCTTGTAGCTAATAACGAACAGGTAAATAACTTTTCTCAATTTCTCCTAAAGATAGGGCAAGACAGAATGGGATCTGTTTCACGAATATGGTTATCTTCCTGATTATGAGAGTTTCAAGACTCAAAATACATATATTGTCTTCTCAACCACATGATGATAAGAAGAGATACTACTAGCCAAGCCCTGAGCTATGCATCACATGTATCATTACATCTAATCCTTCTACAACACTGTAAGTATAATTCTTGACTGAGATGAGAGAAGAAGTCAGGAGAGAGGCCCGCCTGAAGCTTCTTTCTGGGAGAGCTCTTACCCGTTTGGCCACAGAGATCTCTTGTTGTTCTTCCCACTTCTTCTGTTCTGCTCTTACACAGGCTTTATACTCCGCAAGCTCAGGCAGTTCTTCCAGCCATCGATGACGAGCATTTTGCACAGCTGTTTCTACCTGCAGGATGTTGCAAAAGAAAGAGGTAAATTGAGGTATACAATTTCAAGAATAGCCTATTTGCAAATAACAATTATGATTTCATATGTTTTACATGGTACTGCACTACTTTAGTTACACTGACTTCAAGTACCTCACCTTATCCCAAACAGTGGATTCTAATCCTTCTGTTCTAAAGTTCCCATACTGATCTATGCAAATGCTACATCAAGAAGTGGAAATCTATAAGTATTTCGTGGTCAGTACCATTATTATAAAGCTTTATGCAAAGTACCAATTAATATTTCCAACAAATTCCTATTTATCTTGGGAAAAAGAAAAAGATTTACAGGAAGGCTGCTTGGTATCAGCTGCTGTCCAGTCTGTACACCCACCAGCTCTTCAGTGTCCTCAAGCCCTAAACATAAACACATGCACGCGTGCACCAGTACAGTGTAGAGCCTTGTACCCGACAGATTCTCATGCTGTCAAAAATGAGTTTGTGACCAAAGAATGAGGGTGATAACATCAATTCGGGCAAAAATGTAAGACTTGATAAATTATGAGGTTGAACTGGTTGTAAATACATTACAAAGTACCAGAAGATCATTTGTTAAGTAATCTTTCCTTATTTCCTAGTTTTGAAATACACACAGATACATACATACATATATCATATATACACCAAAAGCAGAGCTGATGTAAGTGGCTGCATTGCTCACTAAAATGCTAAATACATTTACAGGAAAATTCCATGCATTTAATAATTGCAAGTAAGACAAAGTTCCTATAGGAATTTATATTCCTTAAAAAGTTACTACAAACATTTCCTTTCTACTATTTCATGCTATTTGTTTTTCTTCACAAAATCTGTAATTGCATAAATACCAAAGCAGCTTCCTTAAACATGTCTGACTGTAGAACATTTTCTCAACTCTATTCAAATATAGCAAATGTCAGAAAATTATTTAACTGATTGAAAATGTCCTTGATAACATTACATATATTTGCCTATGTTTCCATACTTTAAAGCTTCTCTGTAGAATCATATAGAATTAACAATAGGCAGATTTCCAAGTATTTACCAAAAGCTGAGTATATTTTTAAAAACTTTACTTCATATTTCTAATAAGTAAATAGATCTAAAATAATAAATATACAATAAATAATACTATATAAGGTTCAAGGACCTCTGAGGGCTAGAAACTCTGTCAGGTGGTCTGTGAGCTCAAAACTATTTTAAAAACAATGTTCAGAGCTCATTCATCCTTTATTACCATTCTTTCATGTGTAAATAGAGCTTTACACAGGCTATATGCTATGTAATGTGTCACTGCTGTGACAGCCAATGGCAAGTTGTCTTAGTGTTCTTGTATTTTAAAGATTTGTTAGATTTATTTTCCAATACAGTAAATAGATATAACCTACACAAACTAAAGCTCTTGGGAGTCTTTGATTTTTTAAAGTGTAAAGGCATCCTAAGACCAAAAACTTCAAGAATCACTTAATGGATAACAGATAAAATAAATGACTCATCTTTATTCTGCTAACACAGAGCTATACTTCTCTCAGTTTGACATTTCTTGGAAATCAAGTGATATATCCCAGTTAAAAGTGAGCTAGCTTTCTGAGTGCTTCCAAGGGGAGGCACGGCACCACATTTTGGCAGAAAGGATTTACAAAGTCCCACTTAAGGGCCATGCCTGCAGATTCAGCTCTGTAAGTCTCAACACAAATATCGTTAAACACTTTATTCGCTTGAAGTTTGCTTATCTCTTAACTACCTTAGTGGAATACTTTCTATAGAGTTAGATATGAAAGATTCATAATTAAATTGTGCTTTATTCAGATGCAAAAACCACCATCTTCAACCTCAGGCATCTTAAAGCTGAGACTAACCTCAGAGGAGCAAACATTTTGTAGACTGAAAGAATATATAAAAAAATCTGAGGGGGCGGTAGCTTTGTGACAGCAATATAAGGAAGAAAATGTTAGGAACATTGCAAGAGGTTTTCTACCCTAGAATGCAAAAAACTTTTCAAGTACAAAGTTATGAACAAGTTCAATGGTAGCACTTTATAGCTTTCCATTAATAGGCAGTTAGTTCCATTAATTTGGTTATCATAAACCTGCCTATTACCTGTTTGGCAATATTTTCACAATATTTGAGTTCCAATCCAACCTCAAGTCCCTTCGAGCTCCCCTTGCTGGCTGGCTCCTTCTCCTGCTCTAGGCCTTGCTGGACCTTCCACCTCTGCTCTCCCAACATGACTGCCTTCTCCTTCTCAGAAATGACATTGGTGGTGGCTCCTCTGTCAGTTTGGCTGCTACAGTCTGAGGTCTTCTTTTTCATTGCCTTTATAGTTTGATCCAGCTTAGACTGCCACTCCTTTTCAAGTTGTTGAGTAAGTTCTTGCTTGATCTGTTTTCAGAAGAAAAATCGTATGAAGAGAAAAATAGTCAAGCAAAGACTAGAATAGCTAGCCAAAAAAGTGACCACAGCTGTGTTTGAAAGCCATCTAGACATTGTTGTAGTAAATACATGAGGTTTAGAAATGTAATCAATGAAAATACACTCTCAAGTAAATCCTGGAAGTTTCTTTTTTGACCTCATCTATAGAACAGAAATTACATGGAAGATTTAAATATACTTGGTGAGGTCAAGCCTTCTTGCTTTCAAGATGCAACCTTCTGGAAGCTGGGAAATTGCCACAGCAAAGGTGGCATGGTTTTTAAAACAAGGGAATGTCTGCTAATAATATGTGTTTTCCATTAACACAAGGCATTCCACACAGTGGACTGGGTAAGTCTAATTAATGAACCTAAAGTTGAATAATCTAAAAAATAGTTTTACTTAAACACATTAGAATCTTGTTTTATGATATTTAATTCTACTGAGTCACTGTGCATTCAAGATGGGGACATTATTGGAAAAATGTCTTCATGATTCTTTTCTGCTTTCAACGGTGTAATGAGATACATCTAAACTAAGCATAGTCTTGAGCAAAATCATGAAATAGCGAAATTTGCTTTTCCCTTTTCCTGTTTCCCATCTCCTGAGTACCCCGGGTTCTCAAACTGCTTCCTTGGCTACCACAGCCCCAGGTTGTATTGATTTACTTGAAATGGACATCTTCTGTAACAGTTTATGCTTTCTGACATCCTCCCAAAAATAGTAGCTGTCTCTCTCATCTCCCTGATAAATAACTGGTTAGCAAATCCAACTAAAAAACAATTTGCAGAAATGTAAAAATAGGGGATTTGCTTTGTGCCTTCCAGTATATACATTTTTATGTTAAGAAATGACTAGTAAAATAATTTAAGGTGCCAGCATATGATTAATGAAATGGTACTTGTGGGAGGGAATGGGAGATGAGGAGGCCAAAGGTCAGGACAGTGGTCTACTATTGAATCTTGAGGTAGTCCCAAACCTAATAGCAATTTTGTGGACAGGAGACTAGTTTAAGTAAGCTTGAAAATTTATTTCACTCCCACTATGTTGTTAAAGATCGTAATTTGAACCTTAACTTTCTAAGAAACTATGAGCATTTGCTAGTCTCCTTTGCTACTTAGGTTAGCAGAGATAATGTTTTATGCTTCTGAGCCTGCCCAGTCATTAGTCCTTTCTTCTAATCCAAAATAGGAGTTACTTATTTGTTAATTATAGGTTGGTCTAGAGTTATCAGAAATCATTTCACAATATGAAATTAGATCATGGTTTTAGTTTGAGAAATCAAGAAAGTGTTCCAAAACATCTATTATACCCTGAATTGAGTTGAAGAATCAAGAGGTGGAAGTTTTAAAAAACAGAACTTGTGTAAGATGCTAATAGCCCAATTCTGAGAAATATAATGATGATATATGTACTTGGCAATTAAAAATTATATATCTGCTCAGAAAAGAAATCTCTTAATAGTTAATACTACATTTTAAAACATGGTGACTAGAAAGAAGTTCTGGCCCATGCCTCTTTCTGTTCCTTATCCCACTGTGCTTTGGTTAACATCACCTCATTTTCAACCTGCTGTTTAACATCAGTTCCTTGTTTCAGCCACTTTTTCTTTTCCATCCTAAGAGTATCTTCTACTTTTCTCCAAGTTCCACTGGCAGTTTGCTTACATATGCTTCTCTTTCCTCCAATAGCTGTCTCTTTAAACAAAATTCAAGTATCTCTGTACAACACTAATATTCTCTGTCAAATTCATGAAATAAAGGTTAAATGCATATAGAGACAGCAGCAAGAGGACAACAGATGTTCCTACATGCTAAACCAGTTAGGTGAAGAAACTGTAGTGTGAAGACCTGCTTACATCTCCAATATAAGGGTACAAAATATACCTGTGGCTGTATTAAAAGAAAAAGCACTAATACAATACATTCCTAGAAGACCAAATACTCCTTTAAAAAAAGTAAAACTGACATTTATGTTTACACCCCAACTATCATGGGACCCATCAGGTATCTGAGCCCAGAAAAAATTCACATTTCCAAAAGACCTGTAATCTGACATAAGCCAAAAATTATTGTTCTATCCTAAAAGCTAAGCATCCCATGATAAATCCAGATTAGCATTATTTCATCATTAGCAAAGACAAAACTTTTTATCGAGTGTCAGTTAAACTTTAATAATTTGAACTACTCAATTCACCATTTTCTATTCATTCTAGAAAGCCAGTTGTTCCGAAAAGTCTAATAAAAGTGTATTAGGGACCAAAACTATGAGAGTTTCTGTTTGGAAAATGCTGGGGTTTTCGGGAGGTCCCACCAAGATGCCGTGAGAAGTCTGAAACTACAGCCTCTGAGGGCGGCGGAGCAACCTCACGCACCTACTGCCGCACAGCGTCACAGCAGTAGCTCGTGTCTCCTTGGCTTTATTTCTGATTCCTGACAATCTGGTTCTGTTTTTTCTGGCTCACAGCTGACCTGGATTACCTCTGTCTTAATTGCCATCTGATTTCTCTACATTACTGGCAAATGCCAAGATGATATCTGTGTTTATTCAGTGTTATATGATTTTGGAAGATCTCTGGTGGTCGAGGGACCCACTTTGTCACAATCAGGTCATGGAGACTACAGCAGTATTAAGACGACTGGATGGTCTCAACCATGTGGTGGAGAAAGTTGTCCAGTGTCACATCCTATTTTCACTGTTACTATTTTTGCTTGACTGCAGAAGGAATTCTCATAGTCTTATCTGCATACGTCTATCATTCAGGAGTTGTTTCCATATATCTGCATTTCCTTTTGACCTAGAGCAGAAAATTGCTATAAATTTTCTGTGTTTGTATGTTTGTGAGTATATCAGTTAGCTTCGCTACATAATAAACCAGACGAAGCTTAGATATTTAAAACAACAAACATCTATTATTTCTCATGATTCTGTGGGTCAGCTGGATGTTGACTGGTCTGATCTCTGCAGGCAACTGGGGCTATGTGGTCTACAACGGCCTCACTCACATGTCTGGTGGTTGGCTTGATGTCTTCTACGGCCATGACTTGGTCACCTGTGTCACCATCCAGCAAGTTATCCCAGATCATTCACATGGTGACAGTCACAGGGTTCCCAAGAGTATCCAGCTTGCAAGCCTCAGTGCAAAACTGCTTTTTAAGCCTCTTTTTGCATAATGTTTATTAATTATGCCAAAGTAAGTGATATGGCCAAGATCAGATTCCAGAGATGAGCGGCACACTACCTCTCACTGAGGACAGCTAAAAAGTCACATTGCAGGGGCATGCATTTAGGGAGGGGGAAGGTGTGTGACTATTTTTGCAATACACCACAGTGAGGAAAACTTTGCTTCTCTCTCTTTACAGAGGAAAAATAATAGATTTATTGGGCATAGGAGTCTGCCATCTGAACATACTGCAGGAATATCTAATTCAAAAAGTTTTATCATTAAAGGGAAAGCTGTATTGGGTAGTTTTAAAACATTTAAACTTGTTTTGCATGCCTCTGATGGCAAAACAATTCCAAGAACTGAGTTAGCATTTATTACAATTGTATTAATGTGTATATAGGAATGGGCATGTTCTCATCTTTGCCTTGTGGCCTCCACTGATAACTACCGACTCTGAAGGTTCTGTGTCCATGACATTTTTCCCATTCTCTGAACAAGCTAGGTTAACTTTTGAGGCAAGTTCCGTGTTAATAAAAGTTTTAAAATGTGGAATTGAGCTCCCTTTTAACCCACAGCCTGACTCATCAAGTGTGTCAGACAAGGGCACATACGAAACAGGGAAATACACGCCAGGATTCTTGGTGGTGTCTGCCTTATAAATTCTGTTTCCAGACTAGTTCCAGCCTAATGGTCAACTGCAGGAAAATGGCTCATGCTCTGCAGAGAAGTTTCTACTGTATGAATGTGAAAACACTACCTAGGAAAACAGATGGCATATGTTGGCCTACCTCTGGAGGACATGAAAAGATTACATAAAATCTCAAATTTAAAGAGTGCTTACTGATTGGCTTTTAATGACTACTAAGCTTTCTAGGGCTTTTATAAATCTGAATGAAAAACTAAACAATTCCCAGAGAAGGAAGGACTTAAACTTCTAATACCCTCAGTACACTGGACATTTCAGTGCGGGGTGGATAGCTTCAAAGGGAAAGCAAAGGCAATTTTTTAGGCTGATTGATCTATACATGTGTTGAAGATTTATAGAACTGTGCACCAAAAGAAAAAGTTAACTTCATTGTATGACATTTTAAAAATTTTAAAGAAAATTAACATCTAAGGTTTTCTGGGAGGGCTAAAGAGCAGTTCTAGCTTTCCTTCTTGCCTCAGTGCACAAGCATTCATGAGCCAAACTATCAGTCAGTAGGAGCTATTAACTGCAACTGACGGATTGTATGAGATCCAGTTTTACAGCCAAATTAATTCTTTTAAAAGTACCAGAAAATATATTCCTGAAAAGAATGACCTCTTTGAGAGAGCTACTCTTACGTTCCTGCCAGTTTACATATTTAAAAAGAAAGAAAGAAAGAGAAAAGAGAACCACACTAGAGATCTTCTCCCTATTTAAAATTGCTGAAACATTACTGAAAGTTTAGTCCTTCATTCTTTAGGTAATTTAAGATCCCTTCTAGCTTTCATGCTGCCAGCACTAAAATATCTCCTTTTAGAAATTCTTTTTTTCACCAGATGAAATGTATACATGGCATGTGTTTTTACCATATTAATCTATTCAAAAATAATCAACATAGTAGAAGAACTGAATGCCTCGCCTGCTCTTTACTCTTCTTTTGAAGTCTGTCGTAGCAATAGCTTGCTTTAATGTAACTTATTCAGAAACCTCTGTATAGAATATTTATTCAAGCCTTTAAAAATATTTTCTGATCTTGATGCAGGTGGCTTTCAAGCTGTGGTCTGCAGGCCGGTCCACAGTGGAAGGGAGAGTCAGACGTGTGTGTGGATGACCCTCCGGCCAGAGCAGGGAAGAAGAGAGGAGGGGCAACCGTTCACATGTGACTTCACTCCTGGATACTCACCAAAGGCGACCTGGAGGGCCCGGGCAGGAGTAAAGCGTATACTGCAATTCATAAGCCCCTCCAGCTTCTCTGCAAACTGAGAGCTTCCCTCGAAGAGGTCCCACTCACACTGTGACCTTGCTCCTTACAGCTGCATGTCACTACCTTCTCCACCCATGAGACTCAAGTTCAAACTCCTGCCCTTCTCCCCAGGAGAATAAAATGGCACTTAGATACTGGGAGAGAAGTGGGTCAGAGGAATATGTTTCTGAGGGAGTATTTTGTGCTTTCAGTGTTCACAGGACTATGCAGAGCCACCTAAGCAGCCAACAAACGACTGTAAGAGATCTCTGGGTTTCAAACTCAAAGTGACTTGGGACCACTCTTGCTTATTTTTAGAACTCTTTCTATAAGGACGAAACACTTTCTTCCATATAGATGCCTTCTACTAAGGTTTTAATAATCATTTCAGTTATTAGTTTCAATATTTATTTGCTATATGATGATACAGCCCAGAGTAAAGAGGTTCCACATATGTCTTCCCCATTTCACAAGGGAACAAGGGTGTTGGTTTCAATGACAACAGCAAGGACAGAGAAATGAAGGAAACATGACATGAGCTTGTACTGTACCTTCTTCTCCTGAGCCTGCTGTTCCTTTTCAATGGTCCTCCTGAGAGTCAGTTCTATATTATCCTTCTCCCTGCACACTTCCAGGTAACATTCTTGCACAGCAGCCATCTCTTTATTCATCTTATCTAAGTCAGACCTTGGATACACAAAACCAGCAACTAAATGAACACAAAAAAATACAAGGACTGCAGAACAAACAATGTTCCTCTCAACCATGGAATAGAGAATGTTGCCTCTATGGCTCAAAGGGCAGCTAAACTCCCCTCACCTAAGCTGCAGGCGAGTCCCCTCATACACCTCAAAGAGCTGCTGCTTCTCCAAAGCATGCTTTGCTAACAGGCTTTCACGTATTTGGGCTTTCATGGCTTCATGGTGCTGCTGGTAAGTCCTCTCACACCTAGAAACAGACAGTGAACAGCAGAAATCTATGGCAGTGCCCGGCAATGCTAGAAACACTAAGGTGGACTGGTTTCCCTTCCCTCCTCCCCACTTGTTCCCTCTAATGCAGATTATAATTAAGGTCAGCTTCTTTTTTTCCCCAACTGTAAGTGTAGTAATAATTAATTTTCAATAGATGACCATCTGAGGATCTTCAAAATTTTCTTTCTTCAAATGTTTCCAGAGAAGAATTAAACTTAAATGTGAGAATGCCCCAGTTCTTCAGAGTTATGTGTTGAGGGCTTCTGTTTATAAAAAATTAATTGAAGTGATAGAAGGTATAGTTCCAAAATTCCAAGTCATCTATAATATTAAACGCAAACACTAGCAGTACCCCACACAAGTTATGTTCCAAGAGTCTGTTTCCAAGTTTATGGCTTGGTATTTAGAAGACATATTCCGTCCCACAGATTTTTTCCTTATAAAGAATAACTTCCCAGACTAGCCTTTAAAGAAAACCATTAAGCTATCCTACTTCAATGAACTGCATTTTGGACGGAGTTACAGAACCCAACTCACTACATAATATCATTTATATGAAAAATGCATTCTAAATTCTAATTTGAGAAGCTAGGGAGACATCTCCTCCAAATCCAAGATCTCAACAGGGAAGATTCACTCTATCGTTTCTCTTGAATCTTTTTTGGGGGGAGCAGGGGAAGGGAGCCCAGAGGCAGGCATCAGGCTTCTGTTGGATGTTACCTATCCACAGCTTCTTGTTTATCATGGTCAAAATCTTGTACCATTTGTCTCATTTGATTACATAAACCTTGATTGGCATGTCTCAGTTTTTCTTCAGTTTCTTTAAGTTCCTAGATACAAAAGAATAAAGTGTTTAGAGGAAATAAACATCATTTTTCACTGGTAAGTCTGATCTCATTTTTTAGCATCTTCTGTATTTTATCACTACCCTATATAACATTGTTTGAAGTAGTAACATGTTTATAATTCTACAAGAATCTCTTCATGCCTTAAAAGAGTAATATTCATTTATTTGACAAGTAGCCTTCTGGCAGGACTAAAAGTTAAAATTTTGTATTTATTTTGAAATGCATGAAAACATTGAACCAGAGAAGCATTGGCTTACTAATGCCTAAAAATAAGTCTTAGAATTCAATAATCTTCACAACTGTATACATAGCAAGGTTTTACTTTTTGGCCAACAGCTGGCCAGGCAAGAAAGAACACCTCCACTAGCCATGCTATTATAGACAGGAAACTGTAATTACAAACTTACCTTCTAATGGAACTACTACCCCCTGACCTGTAGGAAAGGGAAATCACTGGAATCTTTAATCACCTACTAAATATATATGTATACTAACGCACACTGTCTCTATGTTTTTCAAAAGTCTATTATATCCTTTGAACTTAATGAAGCCATGGAAATTCTTACAAAATAGAGGAAATGTTTTTAATCACCTGATTTTGTTGTCGCAAAACTTGAATTTCATTTTTAAGTTGCAGAATATCATCTTTGACAGTCATATCAGAGGTAGAAGAGTCAGGCCATAACTGATTAGTTGGTTTTTCTGAAATATCTGTTTTGGTCTAAATGATAAAAAGAAATCAAGTGTTTTAGGTTTTTAAAAAATTCTAAGTACTAGTTTTGAAATAATTCCATCGTGAAAGAGAAAATACAAGAACAGCACAAATAATTCCCATATACCTTTTACACATCATCCCCAAATACAACCACAGTACAATTCTCAAAACCAGACAATGAAAAAAAAAAAAACAGACAATGAACTAGGATGCAATACTATTAACTAATCTACAGACCTCATGCACAATTTTCCAGCCTTGCTCTGATGTCCTTACTCTGGCTCGGGATCCAATCTGTAATCCCACTGGCATTTAGTTGCCATGTGTCATCAGTCTCCACCAGTCCAGGTCAGTTCTTCAGCCTTTGTCTTCAAACCCATGACATTTTTGAAAACTACTAACCAGTTATTTCGCAGGATGTCCCTTAAGTTGGGTTTTGTGATGTTACGTCATTATTAAATTCAGGTTATACATTTTTGGCATGAATGGTACTGAAGGGATGTGTGTGCTTTTCAGGAGACATCATGTCTCACCACTGGAGATGATCAATTGATGAAGGTAGTGTCTGCAGGTACCACGATTGTAAAGTTACTATTTTTCCACTTATAATTAATAATATGTATCTTATGAGAAGATACTGTGAGATAATGCACATTCTCTATTTTCTGTCATACTTTCTCCCACTAAGCTTAGCATCTATGCTGTATCTATACTTATTATTATTATTAACTCATAGATATATATTTTATTCAGTAAGTACAATTTTTAAGACTCATGATAGGCTTTGGAAAATTATTTCCAGAAGTTGTACAAGTGTACTGCCAGGTAGTGCATAAGAATCTGTCCAACTCTCTTCACCTCTAATGGCGTTGACTGTCTTTAAACAGTCATTGTATTTGATGGGGAAAAGGATATCTAACAATGGCTTTCTTTTGCATTTCCTGTATTGCCATCTTAAGGAACCTCTTACATGCCCTCCATTGTTTGCTTTTCATTTCTCATATTTGTGTATATGACTGCGTTTTCCTCTTACCGTCTGTTTTCCTTATCTATTTTATGAGTTATTTATTCATTGAGGGGGTCACAGAGATTTTGGAAAATTCTCTGTTTTATTTGACTTGTTGGTTTATGTATTTACCTCAACTCTGAACTCTCTTCCACAATGTTTACAAAATATCCTATACCAAGGTTCATTCTACTCATGGATGGGGACACACAGGTATGTGTATCTTATTCCTATGTGGGGTGACAGACACCAAGGCTTTGGCTAGGTCTTCCAATTTATAGAGTTCACTTCCTTCAGAGGGAGACTGCTCTGGTTGTTGACTTTCCCCTTTCTACTTGCCATCATTTTTCAGAAGCTAGCTCAGCCAGAAGAGGGGAAAGCTAAGAATAGCTACTCTGTTAGCTTCTCTCCAGATTTGAGAGTAGTAATGAGATGTTAAAGGATTTTACTGCCTCATTCAAATGTCTTTCCTTTTTTTAACTTGATCTCCACCTTTTAAAGTTTATGATATTCATTTATGCTTCCCTCCCCACTGGTGAGTTTTTATTACTAGGAATAAAAGTAATATCATACTGATATACTGAAAATGACTTTCATGACTAGTTATTACATTCAGTTTTGACATATTATTGCACACACAGGAACTAGATACTTGTACTTGTCAGCACAAAATCCTCATGATAATCTTTAAAAAAGAAAAAGACCACTTGAATATCACAACATTTCTAAAAGTGGGATACATCTTCAATGAAACATATAAATGTATGAAAAATCCATCTAAAAGTATGGAAGCCATCTTCAAGAAAACAAGACATAATACACCAATTCTCAGACTATCTTCCTAATTTCTATGTCTAAAAAGATTCTAGCTAGGAACTTTATAAGTTGGCTATTGAACATTACCTGTCAAGTACCTGTCAAGTACCTTTGAGTCAGAGTATGGCTTTAACCACAACTTGTAGTAAGGTAACAATCTCTATTGAGTATCAGACACAGACAGGCCTCTGTGTTTTCACTTATGATGCTTACAAAAAGTTCAGTGTAGATGTGGGCTCTGACTGTTAGTATGCCTTTACCACATCCTAAGGCCTTTACCACATTCTACCTTATTGGCTCTGTTGTTCAATTGCAATGAATAGCACAGTATTTGATCCACTCCCAATTATCACATAGTGCTATGTATGGGTAGACTCCTAATCATGGATTAGCTTAGAAATGTCATAAAGCGGTATTCCTAGGAGTAGTTATATGACATGAAAACAAAAAAAGACCTGCGTAATGATTTTAAGTTGTTCAGCATAAGATGGACATAAACAAGCATAAAATGTACTTACTGTAAGGTGTATATAAAGCAGTAACTATATCAATATTTTAAAAATAATCATAAAAGGAACATGCCAAGTAAGACAACATAGTAAATATTTTTGCGGACCTTGTTCATACTTAGAAAAGTTTTAAGGGAGACTTGATGGCCTAGTTCTCTTTAAAAAGATATACAGGGAAGTTTGATATGTTCTTTCCCTTAACATTCCTATAGCAAGCAGAGAAATGTGATTTTACTTTGTTAACATCAGTATTTAATGCCAGCTATAATCATTCTGAAAGCTGATATTGAGACATATGTTTTTGGCCTTATTAAAGATTTCAGTAAGATTGAGGTTGTGTAATATAGACTTCTATTCACATGTCTTACCCTCTAGTTACTGCTTATTTGCTACATCCTCTTATACAGTTCTAGTCAAGGCTGAAATGTCCCTTCCCAACTTCTCTCCTGGATTTACCTTTGAGGACAGAGATCAAATGTTCCTTCCTCTAAGATTTCACAAAGGCTGCCTTACCACCCCACTCCCGCACTCAACTCTGGTTAATTATCCCTCTTAATAGCACCATTTAACTATTACCCAAAGTTATAAATGTCTATTTTCTTGTAGCTCTTTACTGTTGAATATGGTAGCCATTAACCACATATGGTTATTGAGCACTTGAAACGTGTCTTGCCCAGATTGGAAGTGCCTTAAGTAGAAAATATATGCCAGATTTCAAGGACTTAGCACACACACACAATATGCAAACCATCTCATTAGTAATTTTATATTGATTATATTGAAAAGATAGTATTTCAAATTTATTGGTTTAAATAAAAGAGATTATTAAAGTTAATTTCACCAAATACCTCCAATAGTACTACTAGAAGACTTTAAATTATATATGTGGCTCTACTGTATTTCTATTGGATAAATCCTATTCTAGAGTCAGTTCCTTCAAGGTATGGCCATCGTTTCTTTCCAGTGAATCCCACAAGATCTTGCAAAGAGCAGCTTTAAAAAAAAAAGCTTAAACTGGAATGATTTTTGCTTTTCTTCCACATACCTCCCAACCATGCTTTCTGAATTTACAGACTAAATAGAAAACCCCCATAAGAAACGATGTGAGAAGAGGCAAAGGCAAAGTTTGAGGGTATCCATGGGCTAATTAGATGACTGTGAATTTGAAGGTTCATTAAAAAAAAACACCGGTTGGTTAAATTACTACTTCCTCTCCCTTCCCCCATCTAGGATGTGGATCATTATGTGCACCAATTCAACAAATATTTACTGAGCAAATATGCAGAAATTTATCAAGACCATACTCCCAAGGAACTCCCATAGAGCAAGTTTAAACAAAATAGATATAAACAGTAAGGGCTGAAGTCACACTTTTAAGAAAAATTGAATGTAGACTGCTGAAAAATCATGATGGCAAAAAGGTAGCTAGACAAAAAGAGTATTTGAAGATGAGAGAGCTCCCTTCAATCTATTAATCAACCAGACTACAGTGGCAAATGGAAAGGTTAAAAAAAACATAAGGGACAGCCACCATCAACTGTCACACATGTGAAAAGTGTTTCTGTAGAACAAATGCCACTACTTATTTCAATATGAAACAAAGCAAGCAGCGTGATACCTGTGCTAAGGCTCAGACTCAAAACAAGGTTCCCACTCTCCTAAATCTCAGGTACTCACCCCAAAATGCTTAAAATAATCAACTCTAATCCAACACAAATTGAGACAAGTGTCCATTACGATTCTTTTTAAGAAACATGGGAACAAGACAGCTTGAGTTAAAGATGTGAAATGTGCTGGGGGAAGATGGTTCTTCCTCATTTGGTTATTGACATTGAAATCAATCTTGTACTCATTAAATAGAGTTCCTTCAGAAGGAACCAGACTGGGCAGGGTTTTTAACAGTGAAAATACACTATTATTTCTGGAAGATAAGTTAGACACAATTAAGATTCCATCATAAGCACCACAGAACATCTTACATACTTTGCTTTAATAGGACTATTTTGATGAACACAATCCCTAGTTTAAAGGATCAAGAAATACTAAACAGGCCAAAAAAAGGAAGTAAAATATTTTTTCTATCCAGGAAGAAAAGGAATATACTACCTACATTCATTTCCTCCCTTCCCTTTCCTTCTAGGGATTATTTTCCATTGGAATGGTAGACGGGTTGGGTTTGGACATATGGAAGAGCAAAATGAGCAGCTGTGAAGGGAGGGCAAAGAACTCTGTGAGGGTGTGGTCTTGGGGAAATAACCTTGACTTAGTACCTATTTATTAGTCAAGTGTTTCAGTTTAAGTTTGCCTAAAGACTGACTGTAACCTCACAAATTCCTCCAGTTTCATTTCCTCATCTGTAAAGTAAGGGGACTAACTGAAGGATATAAGGTAGATTTCACTAATTGACATAACCTGATTCTGTGCCTTCCCCCCCATAATACCACCACTATATAATTATCTTCTTTATGCAGAATGACTCCTGCTGTAGAAACACAGACCAGAGAAATCTCACAGACAAAATGCTAAAGAACTTCACTGTCAATTTAACTCAATTTCAGAGCTCTGTTAGTACAAGCCAATCTTGAGGAAATGCAGACACTTTGTTATGTACGATGTTCCCTTGGATTTGTGGTAAAGGAATTTTTCCTAATTGGCATCTCATTAACTAGATGCCA